AATATTAATATAAATAATGAACCAATTAATTTTCGATAGGGATATATCCACTTGAAATATTAAAACTATTTTTGTTAGAACTTAGTTTTATAATTCATATGTGGAGAATACGCCTACAAAAAATCAGAATAAAATCATTTAAACAATAAATTAGATGCAAGACGTGCGTTTATCATAAATTGACAAACATCTAAAACAATTCATTTTATTCATATTCAAGTAATATTGCAATAAAATCAATTTAGTAATTTAACCCTATTATTGGTAGAGTAATTTGGATTGTGCGTCTGCTACATCATTTTCAAAAATCCGTGTGATGATTCACACTACTTTAAAATTGATCATAGGTTTTTCTGATCCTGATCCTTTTCGCATAATTGTTAGGAAAGGCCCAAAGCAAAAATGCATTAATTATTTTGAGTTTAGTGAACCATGTCAAAAATGTTGGAATCCGCTGCAATAGAACATTGCAATGTTTTCATGAATTTATAATGTAGGATGAATATTCTAACAACTATCGCACATTTTCGGTATTTACATTATTAATCTTATATTTGTTTAATTTCAATAAATCAGTAATGCATTTAGGTATTATTATTATTACTTACTACAATGCATACAATCAGATCCAAATAACCACGCTATGTACAATATAATGCCTACTGAATACAAACTACGTATGTTTGCAGGGAAAATATTTTCCATTCCACGAATTGTATTGACTTCAGGTGGATGTTTTGTGTCTGCATCGGGACGCATGCATAGCGCAAGCACAAATCCCTAAATGTAAAACTTTCCACCTGGAAGTTAATTCTCATATTTTTTTAAGTCCATAGACTAATTCTTTTATTGTAGTTCCCAGATTACGTTGAATACTGAAAAATATACGCGGATCGGAAAGCAAGAGAAAAGAAGGATACAAAAAACGAGAAAATGCTGAAAAGAGAGGATTTTATTATTGCGACATTATCCTTCCCGCCGGGTCGAAGGAATAAAGAGAGAACGTTAGATGTGTTTTATATATGTATATATATATAACATTCTAATTTATTCATCAGCTCGTCTCTCTTCCTCTTCTGTTCTCTACAGACCGTATATATTGCAGAGCGCGAAGGTCCTTCCACTCACTCCTCTTATCCTCGGCTCCGACATTAAAGCCCTTTTCTTAACTCATTTCTATTCATAGGATGTTGTTATGCGCGATTTACATAATGTAAGATATTTAACAAGAAAAATACCAATTTCAATATACTCACTCACTCCCCCATCAGGTCTGAAAATGGATAGTAGAAAGAGAGAAAGCAACCACATTTCAAAACCGGAAAGATTACATGCGCTAATCCGTTTTCCTATTCCCTTCATAATTATTAGTTTCCATTGGGGAACTATTGCGAACATATAAAATAATGATATTGCGTGGTTCGATGCTTTGCAGCGGAAGAATTTCAGGTCAGGAAAATCAATTTAATTAAGTGAATCCCACTGTTAAGGAAAGGCGTATGAAATAAAATTTAATTGGTTTCGATCTTCTGTATCGGACGGAAAGCCGAAAGGGCGCGATAGATATTACAAACAATTAGCCGGTGCCCTCTTGATTGGTTTTTCGGTCAGTCGGGTGCCGAGCGGAAACAGGAAATGGACTGGAGAGATAAAATTGTGGAAGCGAAAAAAGAACAGGCAAAGCGGAAAAACAAAGAAAAAAAGTAGAGTAAGAAAGAATCCCGTGGAAACGGGATGCGGAGATGGCTTGAAAGGGCGCCCCGGCATCATCGTGCCAACCCAATTGATTCATTATACTCGACAAACACCTCCTTTGCAATGGCCTCAATGGAAAACCAATTGGGTCTCTCTCTAAGGAGAATGCACGACCAAGTGGATTTTTTTGCACACACGCTGCCAACCACCGCCTGCCACTGTCCAAAACATTATGCGATCTAACTTAATTATGTAATATATTTAAGACTAGTTTTTAAGAAAATCCATTTAACAAAATGACTTTGTCAAAGATAAATTCGTTCTCAGAACAAAAATAACGTCCCTAACTTAAGAAAATTAACGACTTTATAATTAATCTCACATACCTAACGAAAATACAATCACGCCATTTCGATATACATATTTATTCCACTTAACGGTAATAATGTTTTCATTTCCATTCAAGCATCTTTATAACTCTTGGGTTGCTGAATTTTGCTGTGGTATTTGCAGTGGATTTTTTTTTCACCTGGACACGAAAATTTTGAAATGAAATATCTCAAGAACTCTCAGAATTTGAAAAATCTTAAATTATAGGTAAATTATAATAGAAATTAAGAAACTTATGGAAACTTATTTGCATTGAAAATCGAAGTCATCATATTTTTAAATAAATCTTTCTTTCATCGACATTATTTTACTTGATCTTATCCAAAAAAAATAACATTTAAAAAATATAAACAAGAAATGTTTTTCCTATGAATAAATATAAATAACAATAATAACCAAATAATTACAATTCTAAGAAAAAAATTCTGATATAAAGTAACAAAAAATAATTTACAGGTTGGTCATGGGTCTATTGAGTTCTTTTCACCCCTAAAAATTTAAAATTGTGTCGAATATCACGGTATACATTTTAGCACCGGCAAAGTTCGAAATATACCGAATTCATCCAAAATCAGAAAATTCCGGTTCGGTTTTTCTATTAAACAATTTTAAGTTACGATTACAGTTATGATTTTCTTAAAAAATCTCGTTAATTTCGGTTCGGTTCCGGTTCGACTATCTGATTAAAATACCAAGTATCGTTACGTTTCAAAATTTATCAACATCTCTATGAATAGATACAATAAATATAGAACAAATTGTAATTTGAATGAAAAACTGTTAAAATATTGCTTACGTTATCAATTTCAATATGAAATAAGGTAATGTGGAAAAATTCAATATTTCTATTTTAAATTATTATTAATATACGGACCAGAGGAACGAGAGGTTTACGATATTTAGTTGCATGTATATATATAATCTCTTTGCCTACCAATGGGGAAAGACGCTGCGGGGGCGGCACATCTTTTCTGCCCGTCAATCACGTGATGCGATTATGTGGGCGATCAAATATTTGACGGAAAATTTCCAATTTCGCGAGCGAAAATTCTTCAAGCTCGACTTGCTCAAATATTGTTAACGATCACCGCCACCGTCAGCGAGAGATCTTCGGAGATCCTTCAACTCGCCTCATTTCAATTATTCGCCTAATTCCGATTCCAACGTAAACGGAAACACACTGATAATTGCAGATATTGGATACGATAATCAAATTGGTTTTCCTATACGCTCTTTTTTTCCTTCAGTTTATTTTTTATATTAAATTACCAACTTATATACTAGCATATAATTTCACCATCTTAATCAACAAACCCATAAAAAATCATTATAAATCGTAACATTGTATTGCAGTAAAAAAAATATCAGCTAGATCTGATTGCTTTTGTGTAAATATTATATTTGATATAAAATTATTTTCGTGGCGATTCGGAAATCCAACCTGAATATTAATTTGTTTTTTAATATTAAAACACGAACCGAAAGCTAATATTTGTACAAACTTAATGAATTTATAAACCGAGCGGTAAAACCCTGCCAACGGATCCGCACCTGCCTCATACCCCTACGGTCGCCTCCCTTTTTTTCATCGAATTTCCGCCGCTCGTCTTGTTCCTGTATTTCTACAGGTACACTTGAAAGCGATAAATATTAAATGAACGTTAACTATGTTTGGAAATGCAGGCACAAAGTGAACGAATCGCTGGTTTTCTATCACTTGTTGACGATTTCCTCAACAAACTTTACACACTCTATGTACTGCCAAAATATTATGGTAATTTGTTTTGTTAACATATATAAAATACATTATATATGATATGAACCATCAATTCGCTTTTCTATTTCTTTTGATCTGGTCATAATAAAAAGTTTAGAAATAAATTAAAAAACTGTTTTAATTTATTTAATAATTTTACTCAGAGACAAAATGATAATTTAGTCCAAAACCTAGAAAAAGATTTTAATTAGTTTTCGAATTAGTTATATATTTTGCAGAAATTAATTAATTATGACAGATTAATTAATTATTATCAAAGTATTTACGTGCCTCAATTTTATGATCGATACAGAAATATTGAATTAATGAACATATACAGCTCTTGTAATATGCTACAAAAATTAATTAAATAGTAAATGTGGTAACAGGAAATAAAGGTCAATAACCCTTTGTAACAGTTAACATATTATTATTGTTATATAAGAAAATAGTTAATTTTATGTTTTTTGTATGTTGCAATAATTTATTATTAAGGAAATAATGTAGATTTGCAGGTGTTAGAACTTGGTTGCATCTAAACCATTTTTTTTTATATAATAAAAATGTAATATTAAACATAAACGAAATATGTGGAGTAATTGAGATTTTAACAAATAGATAAATCCAGAACTCGATGCTATGTTTTGATTTTCATTTTATTTTCCTATCTGATCAATTAATAATAATAATAATCTTTATTAGTTACAATGCAAGCAAAGGGCTATTGCCCTAAGACTTTCCGCCTCAATTAATAATTCCACGAATCATGATCATATTTACACGATACGATATCTCGTGTAAATATATGTAATGTTAAATAATCATTTATTTTAAATTATTGAAATAAAATACTAATCCAAAAAATGCGTTCACGTCTTCACAAAAAGGGTATTTTAGAGATCGAAAGGAAAAATGTTTTTCCTTTCATTTCACCTATTTTCTATGTATTTTCTTGGTTATGCCGTAGCGTATAAATACATATTTATGCACCAATAAAATGTAATGCCGCAAACATAGGAACGCTCTTCGTTCATCGCATTTTTTTGCGTCGTAAAGCGCGACACAGCGGCGTAGTTGTTAATATTATCACCCAAAAAAGAAATATTTTTTCATGGTGAATCAGTAATGCGTAAAGGGACTAGAAAGAAAATAAAACCTGTGGATGTCACTTATTTATTAAACCTGATGACTTTCTTGGATTTAGGTTTGAAGTTCCTATGCGGCTTCCAGCGACTGTCTAACTCCTCCAAATCGTCGCCGCCACCGATTGTGTCGAGGACGAAATTGTCGGCTTCCTGCTTGGCAACGTGCGTCGGACAATCCTTTTTCAGGTGGGTCACGTCCCCGCATAATTTACAGGCGCCGCCTTTAGGGTAGAGGCCTCGGGCGTTGTCAGGGCACTGCCTGCTTATGTGGCCCTGCTCCTTGCAGATGAAGCACGTCGCAAATTTAAAATCGTTCGGGTTTTTCACCACCTTGCATTCGAAGTGGGTGTGCTCTGTGGAACCGCACTTGTAGCAAATACCCGTCGGTATTGCGTCCTTATTAGATTCACTCATCTTCGGACAATCAGCCAAACTGTGCCCACCCTTCCGACAATTCAGACACACCTTCTTCCTCTCTCGAGTTAGCGCCTTCTCTGCTCTTCTGCGCTCCAGCTTCAGGGCCGCATTAATCTCGCTCTTTGGGATTCCCTTAGCCATCATTTTCTTCTTCAGCTCCTTCAACCTGGCTACATCTTCTTTTTTTATCATAAACGTATCGAAATATCCCACCTCTATACTCCTACCATCATCAGTCTGCACTTTATATGGATCATATTTGTCTTTCTTATCCTTACTGAATTTATTAACTTTCTTCTTATTGTTTACCTTAGCCTTTTTATTTATTTCAATATCCTCTGCAGCTTTAGGTGCCTCTGTAATTTCTTTACCATCTTCATTAACTTGTTTGGGTTTTTTATTACGTTTTCGTTTCTTCTTGCCTTTCTTAACATTATCACCATCCAAAGGATTGTCATCTTTATTATTAACTACTTTTTCTTCATTATCATTAACACCAGCACCGGTTTTCTCAACCTGACCAACAATGACTTCCTTCTCTTTTGGAATAGATTTCACTTCTTTATTTTTACCATTTTCTTGGGGCTTCACATGACTAATGTTACTTACCTTTTTTGTAGGTTTTGCATTCTCAACCCGTACTTTCTTAACTTCACATGCATTTAGCTTCTCTTTTTTATCATTCTGAACAATATTTTTCTGTACCTTTTTCACTTTTTTTTCTGGCTGTTCATCTCCATCTGCTTTGCGTTTAACAGCTTGAGTAACAGTATTTGTAACATTTTTGTTTGAATTGGCTGTGATGCTAATAATATTTGAAAAATCTGCCCATTTTTCTCCCGAATTTTTCTCCTGTTCTTCCTGTTCTAAGAACTTCTTGTAGTTCTCTTGCCTAACTTTATCAGCTTCCTTCTTCTTCTTGTCATCCTCAGCATTAGATTTAATCTGTTGCATTTGTAATTTCATTTCCGACCAAGAAGTTGCCTCCTCTGGCAACCTTTCATTTGAGGCTTTTGAGCCTTTAGACCTTGCAAATCTCGTCATATCTGTGTAAATAAAAATTATTAATATTATTAGAAGACATAACCTGAAAAAAACATGCTCTTTGATGCAATATACAATTTAATCACATGCCGATACAAAATAAAAGTAGCAAACTTAATAACATTCCTTACCTATTTTTGTATAAAATATATTCTATCAATTGTATATTTAAAAGAAACTGCTACTAAGTTCTATGATCATCACTAACAATCACTAAATTCTACTCAGAATTGTTTTGGTTATGTTATCATAGGTTATGATTAGAATCATTAAAACCCGCTAGAGGACTCTTTTACATTTAACTTTAATATTTCTGCACAAGGTGACGGTGGCAATCGCAAGACAATCGAAAACCGTCAATCAAATTCCCGACATTTGAAATGCCGACTGTATCGAAATCCCGACAGTATCGAAATACCGACAATATTAAAATCTCGACAACCATAATCCCGACTATATCGAAATTGTCTACAATAACAATTTTTATATTATTCCGGAGCGTATTTATTAATAATAAATAATAACAATTAATAATCTAATTGTATTTGAGATTATTTCTGAATAATTCAAAAAAAATCAAATAAACGCTCCGAAATAATTTAAAAATGTTATTGTAAAAATTTTCGATATAGTCGGGATTATGGTTGTCGAGATTCTGATACAGTCAGAATTATGGTTGTTAAGATTTTGATATAGTCGGGATTTCGAACGTCGGTATTTCGATACAGTCGGGATTTCAATAGACGGTCTTTCGGTCGGTCTTGCGATATACTAGATCCAATCTATAGCGCGATCCATTAATTGAAATTCATGAGAATGCGCAAGCGCGTATTGCTTTATTTACTTTTGGGATCGGTGATGGCGTTGACTATTTTTGACGCCATTGTTTCAGAAACGTTTGTGATCTGTGGTACAGTGTTCAATTTTTGTATTTTTGCAATTATCCTAGTTTGAAACAAGATATCTCAATGTGCTAAATCATTTATCAGTTATCCCAGTTTGAAACGCGATATCTCAATGTAATAATTGCATAACCTATATTTATTATGATTTATTTTTCTGTACAACAATAAATTACATTTCTTTTTGATTTTCCTGTATTGATTTTGGTTTTATTTGAGAAATACATCTCAATTTATAGACGTATTTATTTCCTTATCCTAAGGTTTCATGTTTAAAAATATATACAAACAATTTTGTTATATGGGTATTTTCATATCCAGTGGTCTAGGTCAAGTTCCTGT